CCACACCCACACAAATATGATCAGATATAACAAAATAGGGTGTGGGTGTGTGGGTGTGGGTGTGGGTGTGAGTGTGGGTGTGGGTGTGAGTGTGGGTGTGGGTGTGGCTGGGTGGGTATGAATGTGACGAGAAGATCTACACCCACACCCACACCCCACATGCACGCACACACACATCCACACCCACACCCACACCCACACACCCACACCCTATTTTGTTATATCTGATCATATTTGTGTGCTTTGCTGCTATTCTTTATTCTTTAAAACTCAAACTTTTATTCTGTAAATAAAGATTTTCTAACATGAAAAAGTATATCGACGTTTCAAAAAGTTGAAGAGAATACAAAGTATGGTGTGTGTCTCATGATAAAAGCTGAGAATTGAAAATTTTACAATTCACAAAATGTAATCTAAGCGTCGTTAACCTTCTACTGAAAGGATATCGTCTCGTTAAATAAATGGTAAACGGTGTGTGAATGTCGATCTCTTCTTACAACACATCGACACCCATAATGAGAAAGTACTTACGATGTACAAGTTAATAATTGTACAGCATTTTAGATTTATCGTGACAGAACTTCCTTGACGAATCTCTCGCACTGATGTTTGAAATTTCAATCCAATCAATTTTTCATTATTCGAAAAAAGTCGCAGTGCTTTTACATTCTGGTATTTTTGCACGTGACTTATTTGAATGCATGTAGAAACAGCGAGTTTAAATTTATTTTTATAAATATTCACAAGTTTTAAGAATATGAACATTAATATGTGGAGTCTTTGATGTTGATGGTTTACATGATTGTGCAAGTTTGGTCTTGGTAAATATTAGAGGTTGTCTCACAGCTTAAGCATTTTTCAATAAATGTTGTTCGCATTTCAGTGATAGCTTTTTTTTGTTCTTCTGTGATTCGCTGATTTTTGTTTTCAAATGGTTCGTACCTGAAACAACCCATGTAGAAAATACCTTGACCAAAATATTCAGCTAATTCATTTCTTCTAACGTCAATGTAATCCAAGAAATCATCAGTTAATTGTTGCCGTCTTGCCTTTGTTAAACTTTCACAATGAGTTAAAATAAGAGCCATATGTTTGCCAAGAGAAGGATATTTGTTTTTTAAGAATTTAATTGCTTCGATATCTTGATAGTTGAGGCAATTAGTAAGATTAATGACAAAGGCAAACATATGTACATTGATAATACCATATGCAATACAAGCATCAATGATCTGTTTAATACAATCATTACCAGTCACTTGGAAATGCCCTGGTGTATCAAAAATATTAAACCTGAGTTTTATTCCGTCATTACTTTCGATTGTCACGTTCTGGAATTGTACATTTTGTGTATGAGTATACAAAGATTCACCAGTAGGTCGAAAAGAACTACTCTTAAGTACTTTAATCAAAGTACTCTTTCCTGTTCGCAATCTTCCGAGAAGTACAATATTTCGATCAACAAAACGATTAAATTGATATTTAGGCAAGACTACACTACTTGTCTTCCAATTATTTGTAAACGGTCGCATATCATAATAATTATTATTTAATTCGAAAATATCTGTCATATTTTTTTGAATTATTTCGTTCAACAAATCTAAAATGGTAGAATATCGACGTCGGTAATTCTAATCACGTCTGTTGCTCTTTTTTAAATATTGTTCGATAAGTGATCGAATAGAGAACTGCGGTTTTCACAAGACTCCAAAGAATTGCTTTTTTCTCCTACGTTAAGAGTTATTTTATACATTCTTTTCTTTTTACGGAATAAATCAAAAAAAAGAGTTCGATAGTCTTTCTTGGCTGATATTGTCAACTATAGAAAAAAATTTCGCTGCTGTTAGAATAAAACGCTTTTATATTTCAATATTAAGTTGTTCATTTCAAAATAAATATGACACCAGGTATGGATGTATTTCGATACTAAGTAAATGATTGTTTTAGATCTGTCTCGTAAAAGAAAAGAATGTATATTGATATCATCGTATAGTAAAAACAACAGTTTTCTAATTATAAATAGTCTATATGTATCAGGGTTACCAAATCGGAAATATGTCGGAATTTTTGTTGTCAAAATCGAAAAGTACAGTCTACGACAAAAATTTAAAAAGTGAAATTGATTTTTTTTTCATATTATTAGAGATAGGTTTGATTTAGATAGTATGAGAGCTTTGCTATATCACCTATTAAAGAACGATATTTTATTATTAAAATAATTTCGTTCTATGCAAAAGCAGTTCAGTATTTCGCATTTCTTAACCAAGAGACTTGTACTAAAAATAAAACAATCGATAGAGCATTTCACGCTCGATCTTTAATTTAATAAGAATAACCGAAAAAAATGAAATTCTTTTATATCATCGGTGGGAAAAACGATTTTTATAATGTTCTTCACTAGCTATTTGAAAAGAGCATAATTTTATCTACATCTTATTGTCAGGTTCGCAAGCATTAAAATCTTCATATATATGATATTGATGTTTTATATATAAAAGTATTTTGCTCATATCGGAAGAAAATACATTTTGTGTCTTTTTTGATTAAATTGGTGAAAAAAACAAAAATCTCAAACTAAAAGATGACGTCCTTTTTCTTCCATAATCAATTTTGAATCGTTTATGTTAGGATTGTAGAGCATCGAATTTTTTTTTTAGGATCAGGGCTTTTAACTGTCTTGAAACACAAGCAATGACGGAATTTGAAGAATTTCATCTTTTCGATTATTCTCATTAAATTGAAGATCAAGCGTGAAATGTTCTATCAATTGTTTTACTTTTAGTAGAAGTCTCTTGGTTAAGAAATGCGAAATACCGAACTGCTTTTGCATAGAGCGAAATTATTTTAATTATAAAATGTCGTTCTTTAATAGGTGATGTAGCTAAGCTCTCATACTATCTAGATCAAACCTATACCTAATAATATGAAAAAAAAATCAATTTCACTTAAGCCCCCTCCGTCAGAAACGACTTTCCACTTTTGACGGTCTTTTCAAGCTGATATTTCGAGAAATCACTGATCTTGGAGAGATACACTTCTGGTGAAAATTTCAGCTCGATCGTTAGTACTAGACAGGACTTCCAGCTGATTCATGTGTCATTTTTGGCCTTCAGAAGAATTGGTATGACTCCATCATAAGAAGAGGTAGAGAGCTCGGGTTCGTTTCAAATTAAAGAACGTGTCAGTATGCAACTGTTATCCGAACAGAATTTTGATTTTTATGAGCATTTTAGTGCGAGGGTCTTAAAATTAGCATAAAAAATGGTAGTCCAACGATAGTAAATTCCACTTTGCTCAGCCCAGGAATTAACTTTCAAAAATCTGTTTCGATAAAAGTTTACTCTGATAGAGACCTTTAAAGCAAAAAAAATATTGGCAATAGCTCGAAAAATGAGGGAGAAGATCCAATTTTTCTGATTGGAAATAATATTCTGAGAAAACCCTTAAAGAAGTTTTAGAAATGATTTTCTTCGATCAAATTCAAAAGATTCATATGAAAATGGCATATTTTCAATAAATTTTTTAAAGCTACTTTAAGGCGCGTGAAAAATGCAGTAAAACAAACGCTATTTCACATGCGGCTTAATATTAAAATGTTTTATTCAATGATATTTGAAGTAGTAACGGGATTTTTTCAAAACTGAAAAACTCTAAAAAACTAAGAAAATTTCTCGGAAAATATGGTAGGGAAGTTAAAGTCTGATTTGACAAGTCTTTGAAAAATCCATCATTTTCCAAAACTCTATATATATTCTGAAAGAGAAAGCTTCGCCCTATCTTCTTCTAGTAAAAACTCAATTTCGATATTGTTTCGAAAAAAAACGATTTTCTGAGGGGGGGGGGGGCCCTTAAATTTTTGTCGTAGACTGTACATTAGGTAACCAACATCAGCTAAGGTAAAATATTTTTCAACAAATAATAATTGCATTTAAGGAAGATGCTAATTATATTTTAATTCCAAGAGTACACACTATAGCATTTATTATGTATATATCTAGATAATCAATAATGTAAACATATTGATATGTTGTATAATTTTGAACAATAGATGTTTAGTATGGAAATTTTCAATTAAGAAACAAAAGAAGAAAAATATGAAAATTTTATAATATCTTTTAACATCATCACCTATTAAAATCAAGGAAGTGGCTATGTGCACTCAGGTAGGTATTATCAAAAAATTACTAAATATTGAGTTATATTATACCTATATATGTTCTTTATAATTATTATAATTAAAATTTATTAATTGATTAACAATTTTGCTCTATTTAGTCTTTATTAAATTCAAATAAAATACAAAGCAAGTATTACAATCAAAATAATATAAAAGAGAAAGTTAATTCAAGTAAAAATCGACTGATTTACAAATATTTCTAGCACATACTCTCTTAAATTTGTCAAGGAAATAGTTGTATTTTCATTATTTTCAATATAACTAACATTAATCATATAAAAATATCTTTTTATAAAACAATAATGATAAAATTTTCTTTTACATTCGTTTCTGGTTGTATCTCTAATTTTGACAGCTATTTTTTCTCATCTTGAAAGAATCTCAGTTTATAATCTTGTTTTAATTCTTATTCTTTAGTGAGGATTAATCAATGGGTCTTAAAAAAAGGATATCTCGTTCCAGATTAAAAGCTAATTGGAATTTTGTTTTTCAATTTCTCATTTTTGTAAGCTAATTAATCAAGAAAACGTAGAATCTTTCGTTCTATAAATTATCAATAGAGAAAGAAGGCACAATTAATAGAGAAGAAAAACACTGGCATCGATATAGTTTTCGTCCGATGTATTGAAAATAATAAAATGCAACCATTTCGTTCAAAATCTAAGAGATCAAGCGCTAGAAATATTTCTAAATGAGTTGATTTTTATTTGAATTAACTTTTTCTTTTATATTTGTTTGATATTAATACTTGTTTTA